GCGCCGCCCCGAGCGGCGGGAAGGGGCGGAAGGGCAGGGCGGCCACGGCGGCGAGGTCCGCCTCGCTTCCCCTGTCTCGTCTCCGGGCCCCTTCGGGCACCGCTCCCGCCCCGGGCCGACCGGATACGGCGGAGGGAAGGGGGCCGGGAGAGGTTTGTACCCCCGGGGCACCCCGTCGTGGAGCCGGCGGGGTTCACCCCCCTCAACATCGCCTTCTTTTCCCCCCTCGGCACCTGAAGAGCCGCTGCGTCCCGGCCCTCCCCAGGAGGGCCTGGTCAGTCACGCCGCCGCCTTAAAAAAGCATTGCACCCCGCAAGGATATCCAGGACACCCACCCAGCCTACCCGCCTCGCCGGTGGGAAGGCGGTCGCCCACCCTCTCACCCCAGTGGCGCCTGCGGCTGCGCCCAGGGCGCCATCTTGAACTGGGCCAGGCCGCCAGGGGAGCGGGGTTTTGTGAACCCCGGTTAACCACAACGGCAGGAGGGGACTCGGTTCCTCCTCCGCGGGACAGCTTTGAGCGCGCTTGGCATCAGGTGGTGCCAGCGTTACGACTGCAACGCAGGGATTTGAAAATGCTGCCAATAAATTACTTCTGTTCACGTTTTTATAATTATTTAACCTTTCTTAAAGTGGGTTGTGTCACATTTCTAAGAGCGTGGAAAATCAGAGGACTGTAATTTTGTCAGTAATTGAAATTTTTCAATAGTGGTGAACCCGTGAAAGGATGACCGTCGGTGAATGAATTGAACATCAAAGCCAGCGGACCTTGAGACGTTATCCCTTTGCTGCCTTGCTGCACAGCTTTGGGTTAATCACTTCAGTATCCACCTCAGCTCGCCTGGCTAGCCATACTACTGTGGGCAGAACACACGCCAAAGAATGATTCAGGGTTTCATATGCAGCCATCCCTCTCACGTGAGTAGAAATGATGTGAATGAAACCCAGCAAGAACATTGAAAATTAAATACTATGGGGTCCTTTCTCATTCAGCCTCATCTCCTTCCAACTGTGTGAGAAGCCATCAGGAATGACATGTTTCCATTTATACTTTGTATACTGGTCACAACCAGGAAAAAGTAAGAAAGATGAGCAAAAAAAATGGCCTAGAGCTCCACTAATAAAAATATAAGATATTTTCCATCATGCAACTTACTCATCTAGCAATTTACTCATCAACCTACGCAAAGCTTATTATAGAACATGTTTTCACCCTCAGACCAGAAAAACTGTAAGGAGAACTTCTAGAACTGTTCAACTTTTCTCATCAAAGGCTGAGGTTGGGATAAATTGGTTAGCGCTACCTAGCTAAGTCAAACTTAAAAAACTTACCCATTTTACCAGATGTAAAAGCAAATTAAATTCTAGCCAGGAGCATAAACTCTTATTGCACTGTCTGAAAGTTGAACCAACTGTGGCAGTGCACTTCCAGCTGTCAAGAAGTGGTTGAATATAGCTGGCCAGCTAGCTTCAACCTACAGCTGAACTAAACTCAGCCTTTCTCCTAGTCTAGACACAGCCCTAAATATCAATCTGTTCCATTAAAAAAAGACATGAGACAAATAGGAATAAGCAATGAGGAGGAAAAATGAGGTCAAGAAGTAGAAAGACAGAACAAAGGGGGGCGGGGGGGAACAAGACCACAGTGATCCTTATGCTGGCTTTCTGCATAATTATTCCCAAATAAAAAGATTTGAGTCTAGTTCCAGAGCTATTGTAACAAGTATCAGATAAAAAGCCAAGGGATGGCTCTGCAGCTGTTGGATAAAGCACACATATCCCAATTCTTTTTGAGCAATTTGCTGTGCAGTAATGAACCGGTGACTGTCTTTCAAGTAGTTTAATTAATTTGTACACTTGCGGGAATGGTCACGAGAGTAATACAGTACATAGGATTAACACACAGTACCTTCTACTTAATCAGTTGTAGGAATCAGACTGGTTCATAGTTTTGGGCACAGATAACAGGATGCATTTTTGTTGTGTGATAATTTTAAGCAAACAATAATTTGCTCCTACAACTATGAAAAGTTATTTTCATATTAAAATGGGGGGAGGAGGGAATGAGAGGAATAAGCAATCCATCTAGCAAGGTCAACTTTCTTTTCCCAAATGTGGGGAGATTTGTTTAAAAGCAATTTTGGAGGCCTCCTCTCAGTACTGAGACGTTATTCCTGTGGTCAGCTAAAACTTCTTGTATTCAGTCTTCTCACAGTTATCTTGTTTGGTTTCAGCTTAAAGTTTTCTGACATGGTATCTGAAAGAGTTCTTCTCTTTGAAGAGAGGAATTCAGAGCAAGTTTCCTCCTGCTCTTGCATTGTTTGAAGTCAAGTGTTGTTACTGGGATGAATCAAACATATAATTAAAGACCAAGTTTAAGTTTTGGCTGTTTGCTTTGGAAAAAGAGCTAGAACTGTGAAGGTAATTGATTTTTTGCTTCGGTGGCCAAACTGAAATAAAATAATTTTCTTCATATGAACTGAAAGCTAAAATTTGAGGGCTTTCAAAAAAACCCCACAACATTTTATTCTTAGACATTTTAAATTAGTTGGGTTTTTTTTAATACAAGAAAATAAATGTCTGGATTCATACGGCTATGTTAGAGCAGGGTAGAGAAAGAAATGTTCCCAGCTACAAATGGCGTCCTGCTTGGTGAACAATAGTACAGTACCTTTATAAGCACAGTTTGAAATAAATAAAAATACGCTGTTTAATCCAACAGTTCTAACAGTGGCGGGGACGCCAGTTTTCTTTGGCTGAAACCACTGGGAAATTCTGCTTTAATTTACAAATATGTTTGCCTACCTGCTACACATTGGTAAAGTTTTGCCTAATTGTAAAAAGAAGTATGGAAATAGTCTGACGGGGCTTGCTACGAATAAGGAAAAATACTTCTTCCAAGCAGGAATTGAACTTAAGGGAATCTGATCACTTCCTATCGATGATGAAGAGGAAAGAGAGATGGTTTCAAAACTTTTTGCTGTCTTTTTTTTTTTTTTTATTCACCCCCAGCTTTTTTTTTTTTTTTACTACAGAAGCTTTTTGTTGAGAATCAGATAGAGCATTTATTTTTATCATTTGGTATTTAAAGTCCAAAAGGTAACATCTCTTTCTTGAATTACTAGAGGGATAGGTGAAGCTTGGATGAATAGACCATAGAGATCTTGGGAAAAAAGTCTGAACTAAACCAAAAATAGGCATCCTGCCTCCCTCTTAACCTAACAACTCCTTATCAGGAATTGGCAACATAATAGTAGACATTTCAAAGGCACTGATTTAACATTATGAATTTCAAAAAAGAAGCTAAGGTACCTATAAGATATTACAAAGGATTCTTATGTGTTCAAGGTTTCAGTCACAACCCTGCTTCAGTCCAAGTTCACAGGGAACCTGAAGGCTTTCAGAGAAGCAATTCAAAATCTTAGCTTCTGAAAACCTTCTGTGTTATCTTTTTAAAAAGTGAGAAAACAAATATTACTAAGGATCTCTATTGCATTTGATCTTCATAAACACTCACTTATTAGTTGCTAAGCAGGTCTGTTCCCATTTTATAGACGGAAAATGGCAAAAAGAAAAGGACATCACTGGCCCAGAAGAGTGTAGGTAATCAGTGGCAAATACGCTTAAAACTCAAGGGTCCCAGCATTGATTTCATAGGCTAATTTTTCCTCAATGGAAAAATTATAATCATGTAGCAGAGTACAATATGGTGAGCTGTATATATATATATTTCTCTGCATGTGTGTGTGCATGCATGCTTGTGCACGTGTGCATATATGGTAATTGCTCTCATGTAATGTGGTATTTCAAGTTTCAGTTGGGGCTACTTCTTTTTTCCTCCCCATGACAAACAAGTTTCCATAGCGGGAGAGAAGCAGGCCTCAGTAGCAGGGTGGGCTGGTGTTACCACCTCAGCTTGACTGGCTTGGGGACTGACTGCATGAGGTTTTCAAATGAAATAAGCATGCAAGCCAAACACTAAAATAAAAATGGCAAAATAATAGGACACACAAGGAGGAAAGCAATCCCCCTCTTTGCTAAGACAAGCTACACCTCTAAAATCGTCATCTCTCAAACTATGCATTCAAAGCCTGGGTTCTCCCTTACCCTGTCACTACCTTGCCTGTTGCACATAGTCAACTGTCTGCCTTGCAGTGAGGAAATTAAAAGGGCTTTGCTTTATTACTGTCAGCTGAGCTGGTGTCTGACAAGCACCCAACACCACCAGAAGAACCAACAATGTCAAGATACCGAGTGCTCGGCACAAAGCCTTGTGGCTTTACTCCCTGCAGGTCTATGATAAGGGTCCTTTCCCGGTCGCCAGCTTCAGAAACAAAGACTACAAATAGAGTTGTTATTACTGGGACACAGGGGAGACTTTGTCCTAACAGCAGCCACAGTCACTGGCAGCCACGTAAAACAGGGAGCAGAGAGCCATTTTGTGGCCTATGAAAACAAAACCGTCAAATTCTGTAACTTTTTAAAAAGTGGAGATAGGATGCTG